CTCCTCAGTAGCCCACACCCATTAGCCACTCCTCAGAACCCACCCCCATTGGCCACTCCTCAGAACCCACCCCCATTGGCTACTCCTCAGAACCCACCCCCATTAGCCACTCCTCAGAACCCACCCCCCACATCTCTTATTTCCATAGCTTCAGCCAAATGTGGCCCCAGTCCGGCCTCTGCCCAGGCAAGTCTTTGCAAGCTGGAACTCTTCAGAGTCCCTGGAATGATGTCACGGCTCCTTAGGGCCAGAGGTGGCTCTGAGGGCAGCAGGACATGTCTCCTTTCCAGGCCACTCAGCTCCAGGGAGACAGTTCAGATGAAGCCTGGGCCAGGCAGGCCCTCCACTGAGGAAGGAGGTCCGGCAGCCGAAAAGATCAGGGTCCTCAGGAGGGACAGCAGTGTCAGGGACAGTGGCAGGTGCCTGTCCAGGGCAAGGTCAATGCAAAGGACAGATGCTGGCAGTGGAGGCCCCAGGATTCCCTCTGGCCTGTCCCTGACTCTGGGCTCTGGCTCCACCACTGCCTGAGCCCTGCTGGCAGGCAGTTTGAGATGCAGGAGCAGTCCTCTGGGACCCACACGACCCCAGGTCGTGACTTGACCCAGGCCCTGGAGACCCTCATGGGTGGCAGGCAGGCAAATGCCATAGGGAAAGAGAGGGTGCCCTGGAGGCCCTCAGAGACCCCAACGCAGAGGAGCGCGTGTGCTGCAGCGGCCTGCTGGTGGCTGCCCCTCACCCACCCGCCAGGCTCATGAGTCCCAGCACCCAAATGGAGCCTGGGCCACTGTGCACCAGCTGCTCTGGGCCACCTGCCCTGCTGGGCCCTGGCTCATCTCAGGGACCTCCAGGACTCTGGACAAAATCCATGCTGTGTGCCCCAAACAGAGCAGCCACAATCTGCACCATCTGCCAGAAACAGAGGGAGACTACTCATCCCACATGGGCCAGGGGACCTCACACACGTGGGCCAGGGGACCCCAGACACCCTCACACACATGGGCCAGGGGACCTCACACACAAGGGCCAGGGGACCTCACAACAGCCAGGTTGGGACAAAGGCTTACCGAGAAATCTGTGTCTTCTGCCTTCAGGTGGTCAGCAATGTACTGGACGCCCTCCACTGCCCGAGTCAGGGCTGGTGACAGGGGCAGGTGCCGGGGTGGCACTGCAGTGCTGCGGGCCTTGAGCACAGTGACTGGGGACACCACAGAGGGATCCTTCTTGCATGTACATTTGCATGGAGAGAGCTGGTCTGGAGGTGGGAGCTCGGCTGAGTGGGCCTTCAGGGAGGACAGGGAGCCAGCCATCTGGCCATCAGCCTGGGAGGCCGCACCATCTCGGGGAACACAGTATTGGATGCTCCGAGACCGGCACCGGATGCCACCCTCTTCTGCTTCGTGGGGGCTGGACATGTGCTGGACACTCAAGGACCTGGCTTTGGTGAGCCTTGGGGCCCCAGGGCTGTTGAGTGGGCGACAGGGACCTGGCGAGGGGCGTGGGCTGGCCTTCTCGGCCTCCAAGGGCTGTGGAGCAGGAACCTGGCTGGAGGGTGACTTGCAGGCAGGCTGGGGTTCGGGTGTGTCCAGGGGGACACAGAAGGACAGGGCAGGTGACGGTCCCTGGCTGTGCACACCACTTAGGATGCTGGGCTCCCCTTCGGGCTCCGGCCAGAATCGCGGGGCATTGGCTATCTTGTGCATGGACTCAATGAGCCGCCGGCAGTTGTCCTTGACCACAGATGGCCGCTTCATGAAGAGAAGGCGGGGCACAATGTCCAGGAAGACCCTGCGCACCCAGGTGGGCATGCTGTGTGTGCGTGGTGAGCGGTGGTGCACGTTGAGCACGAAGACAGTGATGACTATGGACAATGTGACGAAGATCATGGTGAAGAGCAGGTACTCGCCGATGAGCGGGATGACCAGCGAGGTGGACGGGATGATCTCGGTGATGAGCAGCAGGAAGACGGTCAGCGAGAGCAAAACAGAGATGCACAGCGTGACCTTCTCGCCGCAGTCGGAGGGCAGGTAGAAGACCAGCACGGTCAGGCAGGAGATGAGCAGGCAGGGGATGATGAGGTTGATGGTGTAGAAGAGCGGCAGCCGGCGGATGACGAAGGCGTAGGTGATGTCGGGGTACACCTCGGCGCAGCACTCGTACTTCCTGGTGTTGTAGGTGCCCACGGCGTCCACGATGACCCACTCCCCGCTCTCCCAGAAGTCCAGCTGGTCCACGCGGCTGTGCATGCTCACCAGGTCGATCTTGGCCTTGTCGTACGTCCAGGACCCGAACTTCATGGTGCAGTTCTGCTGGTCGAAGGGGAAGAAGGTGACGTCGATGCTGCAGGAGCTCTTGTAGATGGCGGGGGGCGTCCACTGCACCCGCCCGTCGTGGAACAGGTGGGCCTTGGTAAGGTGGGTGACCGCAAAGTCTCCATCCGCACTGGGCAGGAAGAGAGAAGAGTGAGGCCTGTTCACACCCACCCTCGCACCTGCTGCACTCATGGGCGCTCCTGCGGAGCCAGCCAGCCGAGCCCATGGCCCTGGGCCGTCACCCACCTGTGTGCCTCAGTTGACCACCTGAGCAGAGATAGCACATGGTTTTGAGAACTCAGAGGGATGAACTGGGCCTGGCCCAGGGGCAGAGCATTGCTGCTGCTGGTGATCACTACAGTCCCAGGGGCTGGGGCCAGTCCCTCAGCTTTCTCTCTTGGGGCTCCGGGTATCTCCAGGCTCCTGTACCTCTGAGGGGGCCAGGATGCCCCAGGGCCTCACCGTTCAAAGCATGGGGGGAGTTTCTTGCCCTGCCTTCCCCTCCCCTCCCCTAGGCCTCGTGAGCACCAAGAGGAGGAGCAGACTCCTAACCTCCTTGGTCCTGGAGGAGGCGCAGTCCTGCAGTGCACTAGCAGGTAGCCTGAAGGCCCCGCAGGACGCAGGACCCGGCTGTCCACTGTGCATGGGAGCTTGCATGTCTCCAGGAAAGAGCGAGTGGTCCCCTGGGCCTGTCCCAGGAGGACAGGCAGCCACTGGACTGAAGGCTGGCCCCACCCAGTGCACACTGGCTGCCTGGCTGAAGAGCCTGTGAGGACGCGTGGCCGAGCAGCTGCTCAACAGGGCCCTCTGGGGATGGACGGTTTTGCCTCTGCCCACTGTGTCTGTGCTGAGGACCATGAACACGGGAACAGCTTCTGAAGCACCCTTGGGAGAGTGTATAAGCACCTCCTGGGGCCAAGGCCATGTCCCCCTGCTGGCCCCTGCTCTGGGCTGGCACCACACTCAGGGTGGTGCCTGGTTTCACCTCTGCCACAGATGGCCAAGCAGGGGTGCTCTTTCTCCTGTTAGCCGAGGGACTTAGCTGCCATCTCCCTGAAGGTGAGGATGACACTGTGGCCCCAGAGGCAAGGATGGTGCCTCAAACTGCGGGGGACAACCCAGGAGCTGAACACAAACTCAAGCTGCTGACTTGGGGGTCAATGTCTGATGGCCAGCCTCTGCCTCTGATGCTTCAGGGGACATTGGTGTCTTGTCCATAGGCCGGGGTTGATGGAGGAGGAAGGGGATGCTGTCCCTCCCTCCAGCCCCTTTCTGTGGCTGGCAGAGCTCCCAGTCCTGGCCCCCGGCTTCAGGGACAGTGATGCCTGTTTGGACATGCCAACCAGGGCACCCAGGCAAGCAGCCCCCACAAAGCCCCTCCCTGCTCCTGGGGTAGCCCCACTTGACTCCAAGGTTCTCCCTGAAGCCAGATGTGGTCCTGGAGCAAAGGCCCCAGCCCACATGTCTCTTGTCTTGGGTAACCTGTCTGCCAGACCTCTGTTCCCCCAGGGCCCAGGTCTCCTGCAGAGGGAAAGCAATGCCTGAGCCCTCTGGGCAGTCCCTGCCAGCCTGGGCTCAGAAATGCTAATGGAGACCTCATTCTGCTCTTGGCCAGCCCTCTGGCCCTGAGTAACCCCCACTGAGGGCACCTAAGGAGGCAAAGGAGGCGCAGCCCTGAGCCTCAGGCCCTGTGTGTTCCTTCACCTGCTTTGTCCCCAGGGCCCAGCTTGAAGGACGGGGCTTCCCAAGGTCCACGGGCAGCAAGGGCTCGGCTTCTCTGAGCCTCATCTGGCAGCTGGCCCTGCACCCCTAGCTAGCACCATCAGGTTCTGACCAGTTTGAGGCTCTGAAAGCCTCCTGGGACCCGTAGGCCCCTTCCCTTCGTGTGCCACCCATGCTGGTGCAAGGTCCTCAAAGTGGCAGGACTAGAGCCCCCCTTGAACCCACAGACTCACCTGGGACCAGCACCTGGCTCCTCTCACCGCGTTCCTGTGCTGCAGGAGGAGACGCCACAGCAGCTCCACACGCATCCCAATGAGGCCTCCCAGCCAGGAATGGCCTGGCGTCTGCGTGAACACCCCCACACCCCCGGCGGCACAGGGTGGATCTTGCTGCACATCCCAGCCCTTGTGGAATCAGGCTTGGGTCTGCTTCCTTCTGTCCCCATCTCACCCCAAATCAGAGCCTCACCCTTTTGAGGCACAAATTAGGCTCCCACCGTGAGCGGATCCTTTTCAGCAGACATTCTGCAGGAGGGTGTGAGTGGAAGGCTGCGGCGCCAGCTCTGGGCTTCCCCACACTCGGGGACGGCAGCTGCCCTTGGCCTTGCAGCAGGACAGGACTGGCAGCCACAGCCTGGCTCATTCGCCCCAGCTGCACCCCGCTGCTCTGCCCACCCTGCCCAGCCCAGGGCTGCTCTGCCCACCCTGCCCAGCCCAGCTCACACCGGGGAGCTTGTGAGGAGAATCAGCCTGCTGGGGCCACCCTGGCCTTGCTATCGCGGTGGCATCCACAGGCATTTACTGCGTGGCTCCCTGAGGAAGGAGAGGGTGTGCAGGGGCGGCAGGGGCGCCCGTCTCTTCCAGTCCTGGCTCTGGGACACAACCCCCCTGAAGCCCTCAGCTGAGGGTGAACTGCTTCCTTCCAACCACAAGTGCAGAGCACTGGCCACAGAGGCCGAGGGCAGACCCCCTCAGGAGCAGAGGCCAGCTGTGGGCAGGACAGAGCAGGCTCTCAGAGCAAACTGTCAGCACCCTCAGAGGCCTTTCCTAGGCCAGCTGGGCACCCTGCAGGTCCCAGGCCCACACCCCACCCCGCACCTCAGATGTCCCAGGAAGCCTGAGGGGTACCGGTATTTGGGCCGGACCATCCGACCATGGCCTGTTCTGGACTTGCCACAGGCCAGAGGCCGGAGAAGGGGGTCCTGGGTCAGCTCCAGGGGTAGGGGCCATGCCTTGAGACTGCACTTGAGAGGCCAAGCAAGACCCTCTGCCCTTCTGCCCAGTACCACATCAGGGACTTCTAGGCTCCTGCCCCAAAGGACCCTTCTTAAGGAAGCCCCAAGTAGACAAGGACACCAATTGAGGGGCTCCTGAGCCTACAGAAGAGCTAGGGTCTTCTCCTGCCCAGCAGTGGCACTGGCCACCTAGCCAATAATTGCTAGATGCCCCTAGAAAAAGGCCTCCTTGGTGGCTTTGGTCAGATCTCAGGGTCAGCCACTACTCTAGGGTCCTTTCTGCCCTCGCCCATCCTCAAATCCTGTCCAGAGAAAGCCTCGGCACAGAGAGGCCGGTTCTACCCCACTGTCTCCATGAGTCCTGGCAGGGAAGACAGCAGGTGACCTGAGGAGGTGGTCTCCTGAGCCCTGTTCTGGGGGATTTGGTCCTGGGCTGTTACAGGTTCCCAGACCTATGTGTCTGCCTGGCCCAGTCCCACCCAGGGGATTTCTCAGGCTTCCTGCTCTACAAATGTCCCCATGGGTCAGACAGGCTGTCCCAGGCAGACTTGGTCCCAGGGGTGGGGTCAGGGCTGGATGTGGCCCCCAGAAAGGCCCGGTGACGGGGGTGACTTCCAGGCCCGAAGTTCAAACTGGGCAATGCTCAGGACAGAGAGTCCATCCCGAGGGAAGAGTAATGACCACCACCCTCCCCTCACTGCCTCCCATGATGCATCTGGAAGACCATCCAGAGCCCCTTCACACACCAACACCGCAGCCATTACTGGACTCCATTAGCAGGAGGAGGAGCCCAATCATTCTTAATCAAATAGGAACGTTTGTAGGTCAGACAGACACCCTGGGGCCTGGACGGGGCTGTGGGCAGATGGTCGGGACCAGGGGGTGGAGGGGCTTCCATTGGCTTTATTTGTAAGTGTTGCAGGAACTGCCACCCTGCCTGGCCAGAGCCCCAGGCTGGGGAACCATCCCTGGGTGGATTCAGATAAAATCGATCAAACACAGCAGGGTTGCCCCAGTTCAGGGACCAGGGTCCCCAGAGAAGCCCACAGAAGTGCTCTGGAGGCCACTCCCTGCCACGACCGTCCCTGGAAAGCCACCCTGGCTTCCAAGCACAGCAAACTGTCCACGTGAGACTTTGGCTCAGCTTCCCCGGGCCTGAGCACAGGCTAGGGGCTGGGGGCTGGGACGGGTAGAGGCTGTGCTAGCCTCCCCACCCCTTCCGGAGCACCCTGCTGCCTCACCTTCCTCCAGAGGCAGAGTGCATGGGGGACGGGTGCAGGGCAGGGCCACAGCAGCCTGAGGCAGAGTACCCTGGAGTCTGGGCCCATCGCTGGGGCAGGGAGTCCAACCTCCCTGCCCTTGGGGGAGACACTGACTGGAAGCAGGAAGAGGCCACCAGACCCCAGGGCCGTGTGGGTGGACGGTGGCCCGGTTCCGTCAGCCACGCTCAGGCCCGGCCCTGACCCCTTGGCTCCAAGCTTCCCTGTGCTGCCAGCCCAACCTGCCCTGCCAGCCCTGGACTTACTTGTTGTACAGGACAATGTCCGGCCTCCAGATGAGCTCGGAGGGGATGCGGATGGAGCTGACGTTCTCGTAGTCCCTGGGGTCCCAGCGCAGCTTGTAGTCATGCCACTCCTGCAAGGACAGAGGGAGCAGGGTGAGGGGGGCTCCGAGGACAGGGTGGGGCGGGCGGCCCTCCCCACTTACCTGCTTCACCCACACGTTCGTGGTCATCATCTGGTTCTTCTCATCCTACGGCACAAGCAGGAAGGAGTTTGAGGTCCCTCAGGGACAGGACACCTCTCTCTAGCCCCAGCCACAGCACACACTGGCCAGGGCTAGACCTCAGGAAGGAGTGAGCACCTTATCCCTGGAGGCAACCAAGCTCAGGATGGTGGCCTGAGGGGACTCAGGATGGGGGACAGGCCCCTAAGCTTTCCTGAAGGAAACTGGGCACAAGCTTGTCTGACCTCATTGCCCCCCAGTGTTTTGATGGGCTCCAGGCTGCTCGTAGGTGAGCCCTGCCACCCATGTCACTCCCTGTCACTCACTGGACAGGTCACCCAGCTGCCCAAGCCAGTCCCTTCCCTGGCAGGACACTGAGGGGTGGGTGGGATGTGGAGCAGAGCGCATATCCCAAGGCTTGGCCTCAGTGCACCTGCCGCCCTGCGTTGCCCGCCAACCTCATCCCCACACATCCTGGCAGTGTCCCAGGAGCCTGGGAGTGGGCAGACAGCTTGCCCCATGGCACTGGGTGCTCCTCCACAGTCCTGGGAAGAACTCCCCAGTGGCTGGGCAGGACCCTCCTGTCACACAGTGTCAGTCCCCAGGTTCCCCTGGGACCCAGAGATGTATCCCTGCACTCGCTGGCACATTTCACGAGAACTCAGCACAAACCTCTGGGGACTCTGCAGCCTACTCTGCACTGTGCCAGGCAAGCTCACACACAAGCCCACCCCACCCAGACTAAGACCCCAAACAAGACACCCCCAGCAATCACACACGAAGGGCACAGGTGGGCTGGGGCCAGGTGGGGCACCATACCCCAGCACCTGGGGGGCATGCACAGCAGGCAGACACAGGCACCCCTCCACCCACGGAGGGCCGTGGCCTCAACCAGTACCCTCGGGTCAGCACATGTGTGTGCAGTTCATGAGCATCTCAGCTCCAGGGCAGACAGCAGGGCTGGGCCATGTCCCCTGCTGGAGACTTGGCCTGGGTGGACTCTGGGCCTCAAGGTCTCCTGGGCAAACTGGAGGTACTGGGCTGCAAGGGACAGTGGCATGACCCCAACAAGCCTGGCAGGAGATAAGGCAGTGGTTACAGACCAGGAGTCTTGCGCATCCTGCCCCAGCCCTGGCTGAGCCCCAGCCAGGGACACTGCAGGAGGCATTTGAGGGCCAGTGCCAGGACACCTGAGGGTGGAGGTCTCAGTGCTGGCTCTGAACAGGGACAAGGGTCTCCAGGTACTGTGCATGTCCCATGCAGCCTGGGCTCCCTCACACGTCCAGACCCTGTCATGCTCCCCACTCGGCCTGGTATGCCACAGCTGCCCTCAGTGAGTCAGGACAGCACACCGGGTGGCAGAAGGCAGCCCCTCCCTCACCAGCAGACACAAGGCCGATCCTGGCAGGCTTGGGCCAGGCTTGTGGGATGCTGCACCCCTGCTGCAGACGTCTCCCCCTCCCCAGATTCAGGCTCCATCCAGGCTGTTCAAAGCCACCAGGCCAATTTGCCTCAAGATGGGTCCCACCCCAACTAGCTAGGCCTGGCTGGGAAATACTGGGCATGCAGCTGGGCACCTCTGCCTGGCAGAGTTCCTGGGCCTCCTGCTGCACACCTGTCTGGCTAGGACACTCTCTCCAAATGCTCCTCCCACACAGAGTCCTTGGGCTTTGGACCATGTGGAGCTGTTCCACCAGCCGTGGCCAGACATGGTCATCCATGTGTGATGGCCAGGCCTCCATACCTACCACGTCAATGAGCTGGGCAATGGATAGGCCAAAGCGGACCAGGACCACATCTGAGATGTTGGCCACCGGGCGGGACCACTTGTTGTAGCCAGAGAAGAGTGCCTTCAGGAGCCGCTCCTCCGCATGGGCCCGGGTCTCTGCAGGCCTGCTCACTGCAGGGAGAGGCGGGCAAGTGGCCAGGGGCAGGAGCAGGCGGCGGCCATCCAGGCTGTCCTCCATCCTCAGGCCAGCCCCTCCCCCCATGTCCTCTGCCTTCCATCCCTCATGGTCACCTCCCACCTCAGCACCCTTGCACATGCTGCCCTCTGGCCTGGGCTGCCCCTGCCCCTGGATGTAAATATCCCTTCCTGGAGGAAGCCTCTTCCAGGCCACTCAGTCTGGGTCAGGTCTTCTTGACCCTGCATCTCACTGATTTGGGTATTCTCCCTAGCTGACCGTGACTTCAGAGGGAAAGCCTGTATCTCCAGTGACCAGCAGAGACAAAGGGCAGGGGCAGAAAGCAGCATAGCAGGTGGGAGCGAGGACTTGGGGGCCAGAAGGGGCAGGGAGAGGCAGGAAGCAAGGCCAGGATCCGCCCCCCACCCAGGAGAGCTTGCTTCCAGAGGCTGCAAGGAACACAGTTGTGGCTCAGAAGGAGCTGTGTTCTGAGGTCTGGGGGGGGGGGGTGTGGAGTCGGTGCCCACCCTGAAACCGAGCCTGGCCCCTGGGGGCTGTGGGCAACCGGTGTTCTCGCACAGGGATACCCTGGGTGAGTCCTAACTCTGCATCCTGGGGAGGGGTCCCTCATTCAGTCCTCCTTTCCCCTTCTCCTCTCCCCAGGTGGTCTGGGGGCCTCCCTGCCTCCCCTGGGTGGCTGCATTTTGGAGGGGGTTGGGGAGAGGGAGGAGAGACCCTTGCTTCCTGTTGGATCTTGCTTACCTGAGACTCAGCAGCAGGTTCCTAGGAGGCTTAGATGCTAGGGATCTCCCACTTCTAGACCCCTTGGGACCCTTGCCTCTGGCCCAGAGTATCAATCCCTAATCTTGTTCTTCCTGGTCTCTTTGACCAGTAAAGTGCAGACCGCTTTTCACCAAGAGGCCAGGGGGTTAAATTCCCTATATTCCCTCCTGAATGGGGTGGGGTGCATGGCTGCCCAGAGGATGGGAAGGGAGAGAGGTGGAGAGAGCCTGCAGGAGCAGAAAAGGTGGTGTGGGGGCCCCAAGTGCAGAGGCCACCGCTGACCCCCAAGCAAGAAGAAGACATGCGTGGGTGCGTGGTCTGCAGGGAATTTTGGCTGGATGGATGCACCCCTGCGCTCCATCTCTGTCCAAGTTGGAGGTTCTAGGTCCAGCTCCGGAAATGCTGCGGGAACCCCCACATACCCACCCCAAACCCCTCTCGGCATTTGCGGGAGGTTGACTCCTTCCGCGCCAGGGCTCAGCCTGCGCCGCAGGACAGCCCATGCCTCTCCCGGGTAATGGGAGGGGGGGGTCTCAGTGGCCTCGCCGTTGCGCTTGCCTGCGGCTTGGCACAGCAGCCAGGAGCCTTCCCTCCTCTGGCTCCGGGGTCCCGGGCGCCGGACCGAGGCGAATGGGGCCAGTTCAGCGCCCCGAAACTTACCAGGCAGGAGGCCGGTCTCCAGCAGCAGGAGCAGCAGCAGCGGCAGCGGCGCCCTGGGGCCCCGGAGCTCCATGGCGCACCGATCCGGCGCTAGACGCGGGCGGCTCCGGGTTCCGCCGCGCCCCGGTTCCAAGGCCCGCGCGCACCCAACTTCATGCCCCGCGCCGCGGGCGACTGTCCCTCAGCCCGACTCGACTGCTCGTCCCGCGGGGCGCGGCGGCTGCGGGGCGGGTGCGCGAGGCTTTAGGATCCGCGGCGCAGCCCCGCCCGGACCTGCCGCCTCCAGCCGCGGGGAGAGGGGAGGAGGGAGAGGGAGGGGAGGAAGGGGAGGAAGGGGAGGGAGGGGAAGAGGAGGGAGCGGAGGAGGAGGGGGCGGATCGCGCACCGGAGGGGACGTGGAAGCTGCGGCTGGCCCTGCGCCGGGGTAAAGTTACCTCGTCCCACCGAGGCTCGGGACCTGCTCGAGCCCGGGGTGGGGAACCCTTGGTCACTCGGGCACCCCCGGGATCCCAGGCAGTCTGGACCGCGGTCTTCCACCCTCGTCTCCAGCTTTGGGTCCCCGAGCCTGCCTGGAGGTGGAGGGCGCACGTCCAGGGCCTCTGGGCGCTAAGAGGGCGCCCCACACGGTTCCGGTAACTCCACCATCACCCCACGCTGCCTTAGCGCGAGTGTTGGCAGTTCAGAAAGCACAGGTCTTTCACCTTCTTCCCCAGCAGACTCCGGGGAAAGAGCCCCCTTCCCCCCCCCCCCCCCCCCCCCCCCCCCCCCCGCCGCGCCGAGAAGCCCAGGCCTTGCCCTCAACCTTTCTGGGCAAAGACGACATAACTCTGCCTCTGAAACTCGGGATCCAGCCTGGAAACAGGGTCTGAAGCCCTTCCTACCCACCCCAGCAGAGCCTGCAAGCTTCCCTCCAGCACTCTGTGGACAGTGGGTGAGGGGCCACAGGGGAGGGTCCCAGGAGCTTGGAGAACAGATCTTGGCAGGTTTGCCAAGGTTGGCTGGCTGTCAGGGAGGGTCTCCACCTTCACCACGGGTGTCAGGTGATACCCACATGCACAGGTGGGGAGGGGGAGCCCTTTGTGTGACAGCCTGGTTGCAGGGAGAGGGAGAGGGCTGGCTCTCCAGAACCTCCGGCCCTTGGACCCTGTGCCTACCCCCTCCACCCCAGCTCTGCAGCACTGCCACCTGCCACAGCCAGCAGACCAGACCTCAGGTCCAGGGGTTGGGGTGAAGGGGCTAGAGAGATCCCTGTTCTTCCCTCCAAGGCCACAGCTACTCGTGGCAGAATGTCCCTCAGGACCTCCCTAGGCTGCTCCTACCCCTACCCAAGCTCCCTCTGCAGCTCTCCACCCCTCTGCCCGTCCCTGCTCTGGTGCCCCAGCCCTTATGTCCTCTGGGGACGAAGTAACTTTATACCCACACACCTTCTCTGGGACGCCAGTGTTCTTCCTGTTCATCAGAGGGTTGTGTCTGCAGGAGAAAGACCGACTGTCAGAGGTTTCAGACGCTCAGGGGCAGCTCAACAGTGACCTTCCCTCAACATGGCCATCGCTCCCCTTTTGTGCCTTCCCAGGTGCTGGCCCAAGTGATGTGGATGCTGGCCCACTGGACTCCCACAGCACTCTGAGGATGGGCTCTTTCCTTATCCGTGCTTTGCCCAAGAAGAAACAAGCACAGAGAGGTTAAGCAACTTGTACAAGGTCACACATCCAGTTGTGGGTTTCCAAAGCAGGCCACCCTGGTCTCCTAGCCTCAGGTGAGCATGTCCTCGGTGTTCTGGCCATACTCCTGTAGTCTGTCCTTGAGCCAGGAGATGCTGGACCGCACACATGCACCGGGCTCATCACCCTCAGACCCCTGCCTACCTGGCTCCTCAGGGCTGATCAAGCCCCTCCAAGAGCCGACTCCATTCTAGGGACCAGGAAGTTCACGTGGTCTGCAAATGTGGACCAACAGCAGCAGGCACCTCCTCACCTCCTCCTCAGGGAAGGTGGGAGAGTGGCGAGGCTGGTGACGCCCTCCTGGAGAGAGCCACGGCTGGTGTGCCCAGGTCTCCTGCATGAAGCGGCCCTGCTCCCCACTGCCGGGGTCACATCCACAGTGCCTTTTTGGGCACAGTGCAGAGGAACACCACACCCTCCTGTTGACCAGAGAGGCCAGCGTGCTCTGGTCCTTCCTGGAGTCCCTTCCAGCCACCCCACGAGAGGGCTGCCAGCTGCTCTGGCAGCGGGAAGGTGGGCGTGGGCAGAGTCCCTTGCTGTCAGTAAGGTGAGGTCTGCCCGCTAAGGCCAAGGGCTGCTGTGTCCCTCATCTGAGATCGACCGAGGCCTCTCCAGGTGAGGGGGCCCTCAGCCTCAGGACTTGTTGACCTTGGGGCTCCTTCATGTCCTGCTGGAGTCAGGGAAGGTGTGGGGAGTGCCAGGAGCCCTGGGTGGCTCCCTGCAGGAGGAGCACACAAGGACACAGCCTGGAGGAGGACGCGGCTGCCACTCCCAGCGGGGCACTGGGACCCACCTGGGGAGTCTGACACCCACTTTTAGAGACCCCTGCTCTGGGATACAGCCCCAATCTGTGGTCTCTCACAGCCCACTCCAGCAACTCTGAAGCAGGGGCCTTAGGCCATGTGCTGCAAAGACTGACTTGGAGTGGGCTGGTCGAGCTCCAGGCTCTGTGTGAGCCCATCTGCAGGCCCTGCAGGCCCAGACAGTGGCCCTCAGGCTAAGTCATAGGTGCCTGCACCCAGAGCCCAGTTGAGGCCAGCAGGCCTGTCTCTCCAAGGCCAGCCTAGGGTCAGCTCCGCCCTCAGGCTGCGTGCCCCAGCTCACACACATCTGTCCGGCCTGGTTGGCTCTCCCTGTGGATTTGCTAATGCAGAAGGATTAATTGAGTCTAACTCATTAATTTGCAGGCCCTTCCCTCCCCACCTGCTGGCCTGAAAGCCTTGTGGCAGGAACCTAGTAATCATAGCAGATGAACACGGTCCTTACTTCAGGCCCCAGAAAGGAAAAGTCCAGATTCACAAGGTCCTGAGACTGCTCTGGGGAAAGGCTGCGTCCAGAGCTATGCACCCCTTGGCGGAGGGGTGTGGGGCAGGCCCTTACATGCCTCCCCCCAGCCCACCCCTGTGCTGTTGCCCCTCCAGGCTGCCACTGACAGTGGACAGTAGTTTCTGCAGGCTGGTCTCCGAGGGCCCCTCCTTCTTTCTGCCCTCTACCCTCCACCCTGTGCAAGGACATTTCCATGGTAACCATCTGCTGGTGTGAACAGGGACTCACGTAAAGGTGGCTGCACTGGGGAGCATCAGCCGGTGCGATTCTGGCCAGGCTGCACCAAGGACCAGGCCTCAGTGGTGAGGGGCGCTGACCCACGAGTGCAGGGGCTTGCTGGGACTGCTCTCCTTGGCTCAAGGGCCTCCGCCCTCCAGCCTTTCACCAGGCCCCACTCACAGAAGGGGACAGTCCATTTCCTCTCCTGTGGAAACCTCTGCCCTTTAGGGGACACTGCCCCTGGGAACTTCCTAGTCTCCCTGGACAGCCCCAGCAGCCCTGGGCAGTAGGCAGAGCCTGCCCAGTGCTCCCCCAGTGAGTCTCCCCAGGTATGTTCTCTTGCCCGCTCTGCCCTAGGAGCAGGTTTTGATCTCCTTCCTGGCCCTCTTCACACCCAAGCTCTGGACTCCATCGACTCAGGCCCCACAAGGACACAGGAGGGCTCTTAGGGAGGCAGGGTACCTGTGTCCAGTGCAAGGCTGGGTAAGAATGAGTGAGGGAGGGGTGGGCACGAGGGATCCCTGCTTTGAGGGCTGGGTCCAGAGTGGGCTCTGTCCTGTGCACACCCTAACCACACTCGGGCTAAGAGGGTCCACACTTGGGCTGGTCTTCAGCTTATGGGCAGGCAAGAAGAGGAGAGTCACAGAGCCCAGGAGAGAGGAGCCGAAACCAAGACTGGCCAAGCAGGATGGGGACACGTACCTGGCCCCTTGTCAGTGTCCCCGTGATGAGTTCTGTGGTGTAGCAGCTCTGGCTTGGCAGGGCCTCCCACCTTCCCCTGGACGGGATGTCCCGCTGCCTGGCTGTCCCCACCCCAGTGCTGCTCTCAGCCCAGGCCGGCTCCTGGGCATTCTCTGGGATCTCTCTCTGGGCGCCCAGGCCTGGTCTTGGGCTCAGACCCTTGGGCTAGCCCCCTTGTGGGGGGCATGAGTGTGCAGACAAGCCCAGAGGCTTCACAAGTGGACAGAGCTATGCCCAGCCTGGCCCCCCATGACTGGTTCACTCAGACAGGCACCCCTGGGTCAAAGAGGCCCTCTCTCTCCAGGGCTGGCTCCTTGCTCTCAGCCCCAGCCGACCGCCCTGTGCAGGAAGTGCCTCCCTTCAGCCAACGGGAGAGGGGACCTCGGAGCCTCTGCTTTCACGCATTTTTCCAGAAAAATTTCAGAAACTGTTAAATGCAAAAGAAATATGAGAATTGGGGCCAACGCCTCCAAAGCAGCAATACTTTCTCCTAAGGCCGTCCTGCTGCCCCCACTGCAGCTCCTTCCACCCCAGGCCTGTGCAGGGCAGCCTCGGGGGCCGCAGAGGCTGCAAAGATGCTGGACTGATGGCAGGGACTGCAAGGTCAGCACCACATCCTGCAGCCCCAGTGTGGAGCAGTGGGCGGCTCCAGAGGGAGCACAGCCCAGGTCCTCCGACCCCAGGCTCCCCCCAAGTTCTGGTTGGGGCCCTGAAGAGAGCCGTGGTGAAGCAAGCTCCTCCCAGCCCGTGTCCCTGGCATCCTGCAGCCTTGGCCTGGGGGCAGCTACCCCTGGTGTCCTTCCTGCTGCAGCTGGAGTCTCTGCAGCCTCACACCCCCCCCCCCCCCCCCCCCCCCCCCCGCCCAGGGCTCCCAGGGCTCCTCACCTCACTGGGCTTCCTGTGCATGGACCTGTCTCTGCTGGGCTCCACACGGCCAGCTGCCTGACCTCCCCCACCCCCTGCCGCCTCTCCTAAGTGGTTAATTATCTATAAACACTCCAAGGAGCTCTCAAAGTGATGAATGGGAGCCTGGGTGGGCCCCAGTCTTGCTGTTGGCTCAGGGAGT